GGTCGGGCTCTACTTCTGTGTGAGTCACAGTTTGTCCATAATGAACAACACCCTCGGCCGGAGGTCGATGATCCACTTTGTGTTTGTGTCCTGGACACTCGTGTGAGGAGCGAGGCAGAACTGTAGAGCTCCACCTGGTGGTGAGTTGGTTCACTGACAGAGGAGGAAGCAGGAAAGACCTGACAGACACAAGTGTGTAGTTTGTGTTTGTTGAGAACGTCCGGCAGAGCCTCTGTCAGAGAGAACTTTATTCTGAATTAAATCATTTTTATTTGGAATTAAATCATTTTTATTTAAATTAAAGTTCTCATATAAACGTGGAGAATGTCTCTGTCCCTTCAAATAAAACCTAAACTCAACTTCCTGCGTCTTTCTTCCTGTCATTTTCTTCCTGTCGTATCTTCTTGTCATTTGTTCTTGTCGTTTATTCGTTTCTCTCTCCATCAGGACGGGCGTCTTCGTACAGGTGACCACATCCTGTCCATAGGCTCCGCCCCCACGGCTCACCTGAGCAGTGAGCAGGTGGTGTCGGCGCTCCAGGCCTGCGGGAGCCGCGTCCGCATGATCATCGCCCGAGACTACAGAGGTCAGAGGTCACAGGGCCCGCCCCCTCCTCCAGACTCTGCCCCCGTGTCCGCTCTGGCCTCGCCCCCTCTGCCAGACTCCGCCCCCGTGTCTGCCCTGGCCCCGCCCCCTCCCAGAACCCAGCCCCAGAGACGAGTCAGCAAAACGGTCAGTACCGAGATAGACCTGGGTTAGACCGGGTTTAGAGACCGGGTTTAGACCGGGTTTAGACCGAGGTTAGATCAAGTTTAGACCAAGTTTAGACCTGGTTCAGATCGAGGTTAGATCGAGGTTAGACTGAGGTTAGATCGGGATCAGACAAAGTTTAGACCGAGGTTAGACCTGATTCAAACTGGGGTTAGACCAGAGTTAGACCAGATTTAGACCAAGTTTAGACCGAGATTAGACCTGGTTCAGAGCGGGTTAGACTGGGGCTAGACCTGGTTTAGTCCCTGTTTTTTGCCTGGTTTAATCCTTGGTTCAGACCTGGCTTAGTCCTGGCTTAGTCCTGGCTTAGACCTGGTTTAGTACTGGTTTAGTCCTGGTTTAGTCCTGGTTTTAGTCCTGGTTTTATCCTGGTTTTATCCTGGTTTTATCCTTTTCTGTTTCTGTTTCAGCCCAATCTTGAAGGATACGAGATCCACGAAGTTTCACTGACAAAGAAACAAGGACAGAGTCTCGGGATTTCAATCATCGGATACAACCCCCTGACCAGCCAAGGTCTGGACCAGGACTAGACCAGGACTGAACCCGGACTGAACCCGGACTGAACCAGGACTATAACAGGACTATAACAGGACTATAACAGGACTATAACAGGACTAAACCCGGTCTTGTCTCTCAGATGCTGTGGGGGTGTTTGTGAAGAACGTGGTCCCGGGCAGCGCGGCCGAGCAGAGCGGAAACATCCGAGTGCACGACCGGATCCTCGCCGTAAGAAACTCACTCTGTCCTCATGTGTGAAATGTCCCGCAGTGGAGCTTTAACCCTGTGTTTCTAATGTGTGAAATGTCCCGCAGTGGAGCTTTAACCCTGTGACCCTAATCCAGAGTCCTCCTCGGAAACATCCCGGACTTGTGTTTTGTTTCATTCACATGTTTCACTATCTCTCTCTCTCTCTCTCTCTCATCACTCTGTCCCACCTGGTGACATCATCGGGTGGTGATACAGACGTGCTCCTCTGGGTTTTTAAAGTTCACAACTTCACCAAATCTGTTCTGAGCATTTAAAGACAAAACACCAACGTTCTAAGTGTTTTTAAAGCACACTGGTCTGAAGTGTCTCGCTGGAGGTTTGTGGAACTTCCGGTTAAATGTGTGTGTAAATGTGTGTGTAAATGTGTGTGTAAATGTGTGTGTAAGTGTGTGTGTCGTATTCTCCAGCAGTTTCATAAATCTGCTCCATCACCAAATCTTCAATCAACAAACTCCACAAAGGAGAAACATTCTTCATGCACAATTTATCCACAACGATCAAGAGAAGAAAGAACAAAACAACAAAGCTGCTGAAGAATATCACACACATTTACACACACATTTACACACACATTTACACACACATTTACACACACATTTACACACACATTTACACACACATTTACACAGAAAAACATTAACCAGAAGTTCCACAAACCTATAACGAGATACTTCAGACGATGTTAAAAAAAAGTGTCTCTAGAAGCTCTTCTCTGCTCTGAACAGCTGAATGGTCTGTGCAGCTCTCGTTATAATCTCCTGCGCTCTCCTCTGAACAGCTGAATGGTGTGAGTCTTCACGGTCGGACCAATCAGGAGGTTCTGGAGGTGATGAAGCAGACGGGTCAGACCGTGGTCCTGACTCTGGTCCGGAAGAAGAGGGCGCTAGAGAGATCCCTGGACAAAGGTACGGAGTCGAACAGAAACGTCTAAGAAAAACAAAAATATATCAACTGTTTGTTTTTTTTTCGCTTTAACAAATCCAATTGTCTTTTATATATTATTCCAAAAAAATATTCCAAAGAATCTGCGCAGATGTTATTGCTTTGTCTGGAATGTTCCACAGTTTGGCATTAAACCTTTCTATCTCCACGGAGACCAAATCCGACCAGGCTCCAGGCAGGACCGTCGCGATAAACGCAAAAATGAATCACGAAGAGGCAAAACGTGACCCGACCCGGAGTCCTGCACCGGTCCATTTTTAAAAACCCACAACCGCCCGGACCTGCGATAAACCACACACAGATTAAAAACATTCAGACTGAAGAATCCATCAGAATATGAACTGGAAAAGTTACAACGTCAAGAAATACAAACACCAAATCAAACGGTTTCACTTTCTGCAAATTCACAGACGCGACTCGACTGACAGGGATTATTTACTGAGCAGAAGAAACACGCCACGGACTAAACCAGGACTGAACCAGGACTGAACCAGGACTGAACCAGGACTGAACCAGGACTAAACCAGGACTGAACCAGGACTAAACCAGGACTGAACCAGGACTGAACCAGGACTGAACCAGGACTAAACCAGGACTGAACCAGGACTGAACTGAACCAGGACTGAACCAGGACTAAACCAGGACTGAACCAGGACTGAACCAGGACTGAACCAGGACTGAACCAGGACTAAACCAGGACTGAACCAGGACTGAACCAGGACTGAACCAGGACTGAACCAGGACTGAACCAGGACTGAACCACCAGGACTGAACCAGGACTGAAACCAGGACTGACTGAACCAGGACTGAACCAGGACTGAACCAGGACTGAACCAGGACTGAACCAGGACTGAACCAGGACTGAACCAGGACTGAACCAGGACTGAACCAGGACAGGACTGACCCAGGACTGAAACCAGGACTAAACCAGGACTGAACCAGGACTGAACAGGACCCAGGACTGAACCAGGACTGAACCAGGACTGAACCAGGACTAAACCAGGACTGAACCCAGGACTGAACCAGGACTGACCCAGGACTGAACCAGGACTGAACCAGGACTAAACCAGGACTGAACTGAAACCAGGACTAACCCAGGACTGAACCAGGACTGAACCAGGACTGAACCAGGACTAAACCAGGACTAACCAGGACAGGACTGAACCAGGACTGAACCAGGACTGAACCAGGACTGAACCAGGACTGAAACCAGGACTGAACCCAGGACTGACCCAGGACTGACCCAGGACTGAAGGACTGAACCAGGACTACCAGGACTGAACCAGGACTGAACCAGGACTAAAGGACCAGGACTGAAAACCAGGACTGAACCAGGACTGAACCAGGACTGAACCAGGACTGAACCAGGACTGAACCAGGACTGAACCAGGACTAAACCAGGACTGAACCAGGACTGAACCAGGACTTGAACCAGGACTGAACCAGGACTGAACCAGGACCCAGGACTGACTGAACCAGGACTAAACCAGGACTGACTGAACCAGGACTAAAGAACCCAGGACTGAAACCAGGACTGAACCAGGACTAACCAACAGGACTGACTACCAGGACTGAACCAGGACTAACTGGACTAACGGACTAGGACCAGAGACGCTGGAGACGCTGCTGTGATAAACACCACACAAAATTAACAACATTTTAATAGAAAATATCATTCAAAATATTTTTAGTAGAAAATGAGCCGAGGGCCAGATTAAAGGTCTTGGAGGGCCGGCTCTGGCCCCCGGGCCGTATGTTTGACACCTGTGTTTTATGTGATAAAAACACTAAAGTCTCAGTGTCTGACATTGTTTCAAATGTAAAGACTCGACATTGAGACGTGTAGAGTGTTTTTGACTCTTTGGTCTGGAAGAGTCGGGGAGAAGGAGACAAACAAGAGGACGGGAGAGAGAGAGAGAGAGAGAGAGAGAGAGAGAGAGAGAGAGAGAGAGAGAGAGAGAGAGAGAGAGAGAGAGAGAGAGAGAGAGAGAGAGAGAGGAGAGAGGAGAGGCATCTGACACACACACAGAGAGAGAGAGAGAGAGAGAGAGAGGAGGACGGGAGGGCATCTGACACACAGAGAGAGAGAGAGAGAGAGAGAGAGAGAGAGAAGAGAGAGAGAGAGAGAGAGAGAGAGAGAGAGAGAGAGAGAGAGAGAGAGAGATCTGACACACACACAGAGAGAGAGAGAGAGAGAGAGAGAGGAGGGAGGAGCATCTGACACACACACAGAGAGAGAGAGAGAGAGAGAGAGAGGAGGATGGGAGGGCATCTGACACACAGAGAGAGAGAGAGAGAGAGAGAGAGAGGATGGGAGGGCATCTGACAGAAAAGCGCTCGTTTCTTTTCTTTCATTACAAACTGTTAGAAAACCATTTAAACTTTGGAAAGTCTGAAAGATACAACTTTGTCCATTATTACTTTGGTTCTGTTCCCTCTCCTCCTCCTCTCCTCCTCCATCTCTCCATCCCTCATCCCTCTCTTTTTCTCTTCTCTTTTCTTTTCTTCTTCTTTCTTTCTCGCTCTCTTCTCCTTTTCTCTCCCTGCTCTCTATCTCCTCTCTTCCATCCCTTCCTCTCTCCTCCTCTCTCTCCTCCTCTCCCCTCCTATCTCTCTCTCTTTTCTATTTCTCCTCTCCCCTCCTCTCTCTCTTTTTTTTCTCTCTTCTCTTCTCCTCTCTCTCTCTCCTTTCCTTCTTTCTCTTTCCTCCTCTTTTTCGTCTCTCTCCTCCTTCTCTTTTCTCCTCCTCTCCTTTCTTCCTCTTTCTTCCCGCTCTCCTCCTCCTCTCCTCTTTCTCTCTTTCGTTTATAGAGACAGATTTGTTTACTTCGGCCGCTCTCTCCTCCTCTTCCTCCTTTTGCTCTTCTCCTCCTCTCTCTCTCTCTCTCTCTCTCTCTCTCTCTCTCTCTCTCTTTCTTTCTCTCCTCTCTCTCCTCTTCTTCCTCTCTTCTTCCTCTTCCTCCCTTCCTCTTTCTGTCTCTCTTTCTCTCTTTGGTCAGTAGAGACAGATTAGTTTACTTCCTCCTCTCTCTCTTCTTCTCCTCCTCTTCCTTTCCTCACCTTGCTTTCCTCTCTCCTCCTCCTCTCCTCCTCTTCCTCCTTTTCCTCTCCTCTTTCTCTCCTCTCTCCTCCTCTTCCTCTCTCCTCCTCTTCCTCTCTTTTTCCTCTCCTCCTTCGTGGGTAGAGACAGATTAGTTTACTTCCTCCTCTCCTCTTCCTCCTCTCCCTCTCTCTCTCTCTCTCTCTTCTTTCCTCTTCTTCCTCTCTTTGGTCAATAGAGACAGATTAGTTTACTTCGGCGTCTCTCTCTTTCCTCTCCTCTTCCTCTCTTTCTTTCTCTCCTCTTTCTCCTCTCTCCTCCTCCTCTTCTTCTTTTCTTCCTCTTCCTCCTCTTCCTCTCCTCTTTGGTAGACAGATGATTTTACTTCGGCCTCTCTCTCTCCTCTCTTCCTCTTCCCTTTCTTTCTCTCTTTTTCTCTTTGGTTTGTAGAGACAGATTAGTTTACTTCTTCTTCTCCTCTCTCTCTCTCTCTCTCTTTCTCTTTCTCTTCTTCCTCTCTTCTTCTCCTCTTCCTCTTTTGTGGAGACGGATGATTTTCCGTTCCTCGGTTTCAGATTAATACAAAAGCGTCGTCCATTTTTCCTCCAGCGTGTGGTCAGTGTGAGCCTCATTTCCGCAGCAGAAGAAGAACGGTCTTATCTCAAACAAAAAAATAAAAAATAAAAAAATAAATAAATAAAACTGTAAACTTCAGATTGGCTTTTAAAGGGCCACTCTGGAACTTTTCTAAACTTTTCCATTTACTCCTGAAACTCGGAGGAGGAAGAAGAAGAGGAGCCTGAGAGGAACCTGTGGCGGACATTTTGTGATTTTAAGAGGAGAAAAGTTTAGAATTTTATGCAGAATTTAGAGATTTACACAATTCTTCTGTTTATTTCACACTCGTTTTTATAAAAGTCGAGTTTATGGCCGAAACACGACGCTCCGGGGCCTAAACGTCGCCGCCCGTTTCGTTTCGTCTCTAGATTAGACTTTATCCGCGAGCTCCGTCCTGTGTCTCTCCGGCCCACTGAGCGCGTGCAGTAGAGCTCTTCTCACGTGTCATGTGACCGCTCCGACCAATCAGAGCGCGAGGGGCCAGAGCGGAGGCGGAGCTAACAAGTTTTATTTGAGAAAAAGTTTGTGGTCTAAAGAGAGTTAAAAACAGACACGAAATCTGTCCTTTTTGAAAACTATAGGCCCCTGTCAGCCCCTGTCAGCCCCTGTCAGCCCCTGTCAGCCCTTGTTTGTTTGTGATCATGTAGTAGAATCTTATTTCACCCGTGTGTTTGTGTTTTTGTGTGTTTTTTTGTTCAGTGGAGAGGACAGAGTCTCGAGTGTCTCTCAGGAGGTCCGTGGAGCTCAGGGCCCGAACCCAGAGCCGACAGGAGCAGGGCCGACAGGAGCAGAGCCGCATCACAGCCAGAGGTCAGAGGTCAATCACATCTGACACACACGAGGAGGTTTAGGACGAGATCAAGACTGAACCGGGTCTAAACCAGGACTAAATCAACTCTAAAGCGGGACTAAACTAGGACTAAACTGGGACTAAACCAGGTCTAACCCAGCTCTGAACCAGGTCTAAACCCGGTCTAAACGTGGATCTGGACTCTCTCCTCAGACTGTGGGCCTGTGTTCAGTTCGTCTGTTTGACAAACTCATGTGTCCTGCTGCCTCCTGCTGGACAAAGGCAGGATTACACCTCCACTTCTGTTTTATTTTATTTTATTTTATTTTAAATCTTCGTCGTTTTCAGCCTCATTTGGCTTTTTCTGAAAAACACAAACCCCCTGAGTCGCAGGAGAACTCACTGTGAGAATAAAGAGTCTAGAACAAAAATCAGACTGGATCAGAACAAGACGCAGAGACTAGAACACACGGACCTGTTTAGACCTGGTTTAGACCTGGTTTAGACCTGGTTTAGACCTGGTTTAGACCTGGTTTAGACCTGGTTTAGACCTGGTTTAGACCTGGTTTAGACCTGGTTTAGTCCTGGTTTAGACCTTGTTTAGTCCTGGTTTAGTCCTGGTTTAGACCTGGTTTAGTCCTGGTTTAGTCCTGGTTTAGACCTGGTTTAGATCTGGTTTAGACTTGTTTTGTCCTGGTTTAGACCTGGTTTAGTCCTGGTTTAGACCTGGTTTAGACCTGGTTTAGTCCTGGTTTAGACCTGTTTAGTCCTGGTTTTAGACCTGGTTTAGTCCTGGTTTAGTCCTGGTTTAGACCTGGTTTAGACCTGGTTTAGACCTGTTTTGTCCTGGTTTAGACCTGGTTTAGTCCTGGTTTAGTCCTTTAGTCCTGTTTAGACCTGGTTAGTCCTGTTTAGACCTGGTTTAGTCCTGGTTTAGTCCTGGTTTAGTTCTGGTTTAGACCTGGTTTAGACCTGGTTTAGACCTGGTTTAGACCTGGTTTAGTCCTGGTTTAGACCTGGTTTAGACCTGGTTTAGTCCTGGTTTAACCTGGTTTAGACCTGGTTTAGTCCTGGTTTAGACCTGTTTAGAGTCCTGGTTTAGACCTGTTTAGTCCTGGTTTAGACCTGGTTTAGTCCTGGTTTAGACCTGGTTTAGACCTGGTTTAGTCCTGGTTTAGACCTGGTTTAGTCCTGGTTTAGACCTGGTTTAGACCTGGTTTAGTCCTGGTTTAGACCTGGTTTAGACCTGGTTCCTGGTTTAGACCTGGTTTAGACCTGGTTTTGGTTTAGTCCTGGTTTAGACCTGGTTTAGTCCTGGTTTAGACCTGGTTTAGACCTGGTTTAGACCTGGTTTAGACCTGGTTTAGTCCTGGTTTAGACCTGGTTTAGTCCTGAAGAGTAAAGAAAGTTCTACATTTCTTGTGTAAAATCACAGGAGTTTTTCTGTAGTTTGAACTTTTACAAACGTGAAAAGTGTTTAAAGCTGCATCACTTTTTTGTTTCCATGGAGACGTCACTGCTTTGTCTGGAATGTTCCGCAGTGTGACATTAAACAGCTCGACTGTATATTTACATTTACATTTGTGTGTTTGTGTTTCAGCGTCGGAGGCCGAGCTCAGGGCCAAATGGGAACAGGCTCTGGGACCAAACTACAGAGTCCTGGTCAGTCCAGAGTTTATTTATACTTGTTTTACTCTGATGTTAATGTGTGATTGACACTCATAAATAACTCTGTGACGTGTTGAAGGTGGTGAACTTGGACCCGGTGATCGAGGACGACGAGGAGCTGCAGAAATCCTCCAAGGTCTGAACCCGAGTCCCACACACCAAACGACAGTAACACAGTTTATGTGACACTCGAATCACTTTACTCCAGGAGTGTTAAACTCATTTTGTTCCAAGGGTCGTGTCACAAAAACCCCAAAAATAACAATAAGTTCAAATATTTGTGCAGAGAAACACAAATCTATTACACAAATCTTTTTTAGCTGATGAACTCTTTCTTTTACAAAATATTATAATATTATGAACAACCTGAAACTTTAAGAAAAATACAATTTCAACACAAAGTTTTAACATGAACTTGTCTGTAAACAGGAATAAGTCAATTTTTGTTGTAAAATCCTGCACTCGGCTCCACTTTTCTCATGTTGGACATTTTTCTGATGAGGGTGTCACGGTCGACAGTCAAAACGATCGTCCTTTAAGAGCGTTTGGAAAGAGACAAGTCTTCATTTGTGCTGCTCTGGTGGGAGGGGCCACGTACAGAGAGACGCTGGAGACGCTGCTGTGATAAACACCACAAAATTAACACCATTTTAATAGAAAATATCATTAAAATATTTTAGTAGAAAATGAGCCGAGGGCCACATTAAAGGTCTTGGAGGGCCGGATCTGGCCCCCGGGCCGAATATTTGACACTAATGATTTAGATTGACCTAGGGTGAGACAGGTGCGACAGGTGAGGCAGGTGAGGCAGGTGCAGATGTGTGACCTGGTTTCTGGTTCAGATCTGTAAATCCTGAAACTCTCCACATGAAACAAAAACAAACAAAGTTCAGACTCTTTGTCACGAGAAACAAACTAAAGGTTTAGTCCTGGTTTAGTCCTGGTTTAGTCCTGGTTTAGTCCTGGTTTAGTCCTGGTTTAGTCCTGGTTTAGTCCTGGTCTGAGCGCCTGTATGGTCTGTGGTCTGAACAGCTGTATGGTCTGTGGTCTGAGCGCCTGTATGGTCTGTGGTCTGAACAGCTGTATGGTCTGTGGTCTGAACAGCTGTATGGTCTGTGGTTTCAGCTGCTGCCCGTTCACACGGTTCGTCTCGGGGTGGAGTTGGACTCGTTCGATGGACATCACTACGTCTCGTCTGTGATTCCTGAAGGTCCCGTCGACAAACACGGAGAGTTGAGGCCCGAGGACGAGCTGCTGGAGGTACAGTCCTCCTCCTCTGCACCGTCTCAACTCCTCTGCATCGTCTGACCATCTCCTCTTCTTCCTCTTCTTCCTCTTCTTCCTCTTCTCTTCTTCTCTTCTTCTCCTCCAGGTGAACGACGTGCAGGTTTATGGTAAATCTCGTCGGGAGGTGATCGCGTTCCTTAAAGAAGTCCCTCCTCCGTTCACGCTCGTCTGCTGCCGGCACCTGTCTGCGGACCAAGACCCAGACCAGGACCAGGACCAGGACCAGGGTCTAGACTCGGACTCGGACCAGGACTCGGACTTGGTGGAGCCTCCGAAGTACCAGGCTCAGTTTGAGAGTCGATATGAAGCGGAGTCGAGGAGCAGACAGCGCCCCAGTGTGGACGAGGTGAGCCAGATGAAAACAGAGCAGATTTCAAATGTAAAAATGAAAAAAAAAAAAAAATTCTATTGTAAATATAAATAAATAATGTAAAATAGTTAAATGTCGGGTCTAAAAATGTGAAAATACTTTAAATGTCCCATAAACACTTGTCGTTTCCTCGTCACACACAAACCTGAAGTTGTGTTTTGTTTCCTGTACACTTAGCACGAGTTCTTCTGAAAACGAAAACACTCTGTTCCACCTTGTGATGTCATCATGTGGTGATACAGGAAGCGCTCCACTGTGTTTTTAAACTCCACACACACCTTCAAACACAAGAATCTTTTGGATCATTTCAATCCTGATGTCGCTGATCTCGACTGAACTAAAGGGAAAAGGAGCTGTTTTTAAACTGTTGAAAACTACCACTTCATGACATCACAAGGTGGAACAGAGCGTTTGGAGCTTTGCAGATGTGGACAGAGGAATGATAAAGAGTCACTCAAACACAAAACACAAGTCCAGCTCTGTGTGTGACCAGGAACATTAGAACATTAGAGCCTGACTTAAATCTCACAGGAGTCAGTTTCGTGGACTAAAAAAAAACTTAAAAAACCTGAATGGTGTTTTATTTGTTTTGTGTTTTGTGTTTTTTTCAGATGGAGCTGCAGTTGTCTTCGCTGCTCTGTCAGACTGAGTCCAGAGACCGAACCAGAGTCAAACAGGTGAGTTCTGTTTGTGAATCGCCCCAAACAAAGAAATGAAATGAAGAAAGAAGAAGAAAACGTCTTTCATTCATATTCTCCCCCGATCCTCGAACCAGGACTAAACCAGGACTGAACCAGGTCTAAGCCAGGTCTGAACCAGGTCTAAACCAGGTCTAAACCAGGGTCTAAACCAGGGTCTAAACCAGGGTCTAAACCAGGTCTAAACCAGGTCTAAACCAGGTCTAAACCAGGTCTAAACCAGGTCTAAACCAGGTCTAAACCAGGTCTAAACCAGGTAAACCAGGAACTAAACCAGGACTAAACCAGGACTAAACCAGGTCTAAACCAGGTCTAAACCAGGTCTAAACCAGGGTCTAAACCAGGTCTAAACCAGGTCTAAACCAGGTCTAAACCAGGGTCTAAACCAGGGTCTAAACCAGGGTCTAAACCAGGTCTAAACCAGGTCTAAACCAGGTAAACCAGGTCTAAACCAGGTCTAAACCAGGTCTAAACCAGGTCTAAACTAGGTCTAAACCAGGTCTAAACCAGGGTCTAAACCAGGGTCTAAACCAGGTCTAAACCAGGTCTAAATCAGGTCTAAATCAGGTCTAAATCAGGTCTAAATCAGGTCTAAACCAGGTCTAAATCAGGTCTAAACCAGGTCTAAACCAGGACTAAACCAGGACTAAACCAGGTCTAAACCAGGTCTAAACCAGGTCTAAACCAGGACTAAACTAGGTCTAAAACCAGGTCTAAACAGGGTCAAACCAGGGTCTAAACCAGGGTCTAAACCAGGTCTAAACCAGGTCTAAATCAGGTCTAAACCAGGTCTAAATCAGGTCTAAACCAGGTCTAAATCAGGTCTAAACCAGGTCTAAATCAGGTCTAAATCAGGTCTAAATCAGGTCTAAACCAGGTCTAAACCAGGTCTAAACCAGGTCTAAACCAGGACTAAACCAGGTCTAAACCAGTAGCGCGGTCGTTGAGTTGGTTTTAAGTAATAAAAACACTAAAGTCTGTCTCCGTCTGGTCCGTTGTTCCAGGAAAAGTCCTGGAAATGTCACGTCATGTTTTTTCCTCCCGTTCGTTTGATTCTCCAGACCCGCCGTGTGTGATCACTACTCGCCAAATACTTCACCAAATATTTGCCTTAACGTGCAGTTTGTGTCTCCACTGTAACTGCTGAACATTCTGCCACGCACATACATGTAGAACACCCCCAGCGCAATGTCACTGCCGAGTATCAGTCCTGGAGGAAATGTGGAGACTGAAGCGGTTTCATAAAGTGTTTTAAAAAAGCAGATTTGTTTTTGTGTTTGTAAAAAACTGTAAATCCTGACTGAAATGTTTTTGAACTTTTCAGGAGCTTCCTCCAGAACCTGTGGTCCAGTCAGACTCTGAGGACGAGACAGGGGCGACAGGTGCGACAGGTGAGGACAGCACTGAAGAGGAAGAGGAAGAAGAAGAAGAGGAAGAGGAGGAAGAAGAGGAGGAGGAGGAAGAGGAGGAGGGGGAGCTGGCCATGTGGTCTCCTGAGATTCTGACCCTGGACCTGAACAAAGATCCAGACAAAGGACTGGGCTTCAGCATCCTGGACTATCAGGTACAAAACCCCCGACAGGTGCGTCAGGAAGAGTCAGGTCACTCCGGACTCCGGACTCCCGACTCCCGACTCCCGACTCCCGACTGCAGACTCCCGACTCCAGACTCCAGACTCCAGACTCCAAACTAACACTCCAGACTCCAGACTCCAGACTCCAGACTCCAAACTAACTACTCCAGACTCCAGACTCCAGACTCCAGACTCCAGACTAACACTCCAGACTCCAGACTCCAGACTCCACACTCCTCCAGACTCCAGACTCCAGACTAACACTCCAGACTCCAGACTCCAGACTAACACTCCAGACTCCAGACTCCAGACTAACACTCCAGACTCCAGACTAACACTCCAGACTCCAGACTAACACTCCAGACTCCAGACTAACTCCAGACTCCAGACTAACACTCCAGACTAACACTCCAGACTCCAGACTCCAGACTAACACTCCAGACTCCAGACTAACACTCCAGACTCCAGACTAACACTCCAGACGACTCCAGACTAACACTCCCGACTCCAGACTAACACTCCCGACTCCAGACTAACACTCCCGACTCCAGACTAACACTCCAGACTCCAGACTAACACTCCAGACTCCAGACTCCAGACTACACTCCAGACTCCAGACTAACACTCCAGACTCCAGACTGACACTCCAGACTCCAGACTAACACTCCAGACTCCAGACTAACACTCCAGACTCCAGACTCCAGACTAACACTCCAGACTCCAGACTAACACTCCAGACTCCAGACTAACACTCCAGACTCCAGACTAACACTCCCGACTCCAGACTAACACTCCCGACTCCAGACTAACACTCCCGACTCCAGACTAACACTCCCGACTCCAGACTAACACTCCAGACTCCAGACTCCAGACTCCAGACTCCAGACTAACACTCCCGACTCCAGACTAACACTCCCGACTCCAGACTAACACTCCCGACTCCAGACTCCAGACTCCAGACTAACACTCCCGACTCCAGACTCCAGACTCCAGACTAACACTCCAGACTCCAGACTCCAGACTAACACTCCAGACTCCAGACTCCAGACTCCAGACTAACACTCCAGACTCCAGACTCCAGACTCCAGACTACTCCAGACTCCAGACTAACACTCCCGACTCCAGACTAACACTCCCGACTCCAGACTAACACTCCAGACTCCAGACTAAGACTCCAGACTCCAGACTAACACTCCAGACTCCAGACTCCAGACTCCAGACTCCAGACTCCAGACTAACACTCCAGACTCCAGACTAACACTCCAGACTCCAGACTCCAGACTCCAGACTAACACTCCAGACTCCAGACTAAAACTCCAGACTCCAGATTCTAGACTCCAGACTCGGTTCTGAATCTAAACCAGGCCTAAATTAAACCAGGTGTGATGTTTGAGGATCCAGACTTGAGGAACATGAGGAAGAGTTTAGATTTTAGTTTTGATTCTCCTTCAGATTTGTGCTGTTGGAGCGACGGCCACTTGTGCCTCTGTCTGCCCTGGGGCGACTGCAGCTCCTCTCTCTCTCTCCTCTGTCCTCCCTCTTCTTTCTCTGTCTCTCTCTCTCTCCTCTTTCTGTTTCTCTGTTATTTCTCTCTCTCCCTCCTCTCTCTTCTCTTTCTTTTTGATCCAAACTGAGTTTAGTTTTTTCTGTTTTTAGTCGAGTCTCAGAAGAAAAACACTTTTTTTAAAAATAACCAAACACTTCCGGCACCGCTCACCTCTCCCCTCGTCCTCTTCATCCCCCCTCCTCTTCATCCCCTCCTCCTCCTCCTCTTTATCTGCCCTCTCTCCCTCCCTCTCCTCCCTCTCGCTCTCTCTCCCTCCATCTGTTCCTGTCTTCCTGTCGTCCTCTGTTTCTCTGTTCGTTCTGTGTGTGGTAGTTTGAATCCTGAGGCGTTGAATTTGAGCCAAACACCTTTTCACTCAGACTGACGGGAGCAGAGGAGAGAGGGAGAGAGGGAGAGAGAGAGAGAGAGAGTGAAGAGAAACGAGAGAGGAGAGAGGAGGAGAGGGAGGAGGAGGTGTGGAGTTCATGGCTAAAAATGTCAAAATTTAGGAGGATTTTGACTGAAACAACTGAACTGACAATGTTAGAAATGTAGAGATTTAGATAGAGGTAGATTTTCCTGGTTTAGTCCTGGTTTAGTCCTGGTTTAGTCCTGGTTTAGTCCTGGTTTAGACCTGGTTTAGACCTGGTTTAGTCCAAGTCTGACCCGTCCTCAGAGTCTCCGGGTCACAGTGGGACCGTGTCAGATCTTGGTTCATGTTTTGTTTGAGGACACAGACGCAGGTAGAACATGCAAACACACTGACGTGGTTCGGGGAATCAAACCAGGACCCTGCCGCTGTGGGGCGAGCGTGCTAACCACTCTGCCGCTCTCACTCCAGCTCAAGTTTCTCTTCTAAACTGAGTTGTGTCGATGTTTTGGAGTAAATAAGTTTATTTTAGTGAAACCTTTCGCCGCCTCAAACATCAAACCGTGAACATTTGGAGCTGGGCCTAAAGCGGCGGCGCGTCCTCCGGGGGGCGCTCTCAAACACGCCGCTCTGAAACACGCCGCTCCTGCCAGGAAAGCGTCTGAGCGCGAGCCAGACAGCGCCGCGCTCCCGGACAGCGCCGCGCTCCCAGGTGCAGTCAGGGGGCGCCGCCTCCTCCTCCTCCACACCGAGAGCGGCTCACAGCGCCTGTCAATCACCCGTCACGCCGCGCGACCTCTGACCCCAAACACAAACTTTCTCCACAGAGTTTAAAATCTCCTCCAGTTTTTACACAAACTTTAGTTTTTACTCTGAATGTTTGAAACTTCTCACAAGATCTGCCCAAGAATATCAACTTTCACTTCTCTGCAGCTCAGACCTGAACAGACCAGGTCCAGACCAGGTCCAGACCAGGTCCAGACCAGGTCCAGACCAGGTCCAGACCACACTCACGTCCTCGTGTTTCTGCTCACATCTTAAAGCTGCACTGTGTCACTTTTCAGGTGGGGTCAGTCATCTGTGTGTTTCCATGGAGATGTTATGGTCAAGGGTCAGATTTTTGTACAGCGTTTTTAAACCGTTAAGACTCAAAGCACCAAACACACACACACACACACACACACACACACACACACACACACACACACACACACACACACACACAGGGGTTAGTGTTTTGCCCAAGGACACAACAGCAGCATTCATCTGTTTCAGCTGGAATCAAACCACCAACCTGTGGATCTGTCACTTTGCCTGGACCCCTCTGACTCTTCTCTCTGTCCCTCAGGACCCTCTGCACCCTCTCTGACCTCTGACCTCTCTGACCTCTGTAGGACCCTGTCCGACCTCTGTAGGATCCTCTCTGACCTCTGTAGGACCCTCTCCGACCTCTGTAGGACCCTCTTTGACCTCTCTCTGTCTCCTGTAGGACCCTCTGGACCCTCTCTGACCTCTGTAGGACCCTCTCTGACCTCTGTAGGACCCTCTCTGACCTCTGTAGGACCCTCTCTCCGACCTCTGTAGGACTCTCTCTGACCTCTGTAGGACCCTCTCTGATCTCTGTAGGAGCCTCTGGACCCTCTCTGACCTCTGTAGGACTCTCTCTGACCTCTGTAGGACTCTCTCTGACCTCTGTAGGACCCCCTCTGACCTCTGTAGGACTCTCTCTGACCTCTGTAGGACCCCCTCTGACCTCTGTAGGACCCCCTCTGACCTCTGTATGACCCTCTGGATTCTCTCTGACCTCTGTAGGAACCTCTGGACCCTCTGTGACCTCTGTAGGACCCTCTCTGACCTCTGTAGGACTCTCTCTGACCTCTGTAGGACCCCTCTCTGACCTCTGTAGGACCCTCTCTGACCTCTGTAGGACCCTCTGGATCCTCTCCGACCTCTGTAGGACCCTCTTTGACCTCTCTCTGTCTCCTGTAGGACCCTCTGGACCCTCTCTGACCTCTGTAGGACCCTCTTTGACCTCTCTCTGTCTCCTGTAGGACCCTCTGGACCCTCTCTGACCTCTGTAGGACCCTCTCTGACCTCTGTAGGACCCTCTCTGACCTCTGTAGGACCCTCTCTGACCTCTGTAGGACCTCTGGACCCTCTGACCTCTGTAGGACCCTCTCTGACCTCTGTAGGACCCTCTGACCTCTGTAGGACCCTCTGGACCCTCTCTGACCTCTGTAGGAACCTCTGGACCCTCTGTGACCTCTGTAGGACCCTCTCTGACCTCTGTAGGACCCCTCTCTGACCTCTGTAGGACCCTCTCTGACCTCTGTAGGACCCCCTCTGACCTCTGTAGGACCCTCTCTGACCTCTCTCTGTCTCCTGTAGGACCCTCTGGACCCGGGCCGCTGTGTGATGGTGGTCCGGTCTCTGGTCCCAGGCGGGTCTGCGGAGCGGAGTGGGGGTCTGTTGCCGGGAGACCAGGTGGTTTGGGTGAACTCCACTCAGCTCCAGGACCTGAGCCTGTCCGAGGCCGTCCAGGTCCTCAAGATGGTGCCCGCCGGGACCGTCCGCCTGGGCATCCGCAAACCCCTGGTACTGGACCGGGACTGGGACCGGAGACTGAGACCGGGACTGAGACCGGGACTGAGACCGAGACCGGAGACCGGAGACCGGGGACAGAGACCGAGACCGAGACCGGGACTGGGACTGAGACCGGACGGAGACCCGAGACCGGGGACAGAGACAGAGACCGAGACCGGAGACCGGGGACCGAGACCGAGACCGGGACTGAGACCGGGACTAAACTATATCTGTGTGGTTTCCTCCTCAGACCTGGAGTGGTGTTTTGTTTTCTGCACATTTAGAGTTCTGAGTTCTTCTCTCACACTGAAAACACTCTGTTCCACCTCGTGATGTCATCATGTGGTGATACAGGAAGTGCTCTACTGTGTTTTTAAACTCCACACACCTTCACTAGAATCACCTGGATCATTTTTCAGTCCTGGAGTTTCTCAACTGAACTAAAGGGAAAAGGAGCTGTTCACCTGGAAACTACCACTTGATGACATCACCAGGTGGAACAGAGCGTTTGGAGCTTTAGAGATGTAAACAGACGAATAATAAAGAGTCACTCAAACACAAAACACAAGTCCAGCTCTGAGTGTGAGGAGGAACAGTAGAACAGTAGAACATTAGAACAGTTAGAACAGTAGAACAGTAGAACATTAGTACAGTAGAACAGTAGAACAGTAGTACAGTAGAACAGTAGAACATTAGAACATTAGTGCAGTAGAACAGTTAGAACAGTAGAACAGTAGAACAGTAGTACAGTAGAACAGTAGAACAGTAGAACAGTAGTACAGTAGAACAGTAGAACAGTAGAACAGTAGAACAGTAGAACAGTAGAACAGTAGTACAGTAGACAGTAGAACAGTAGAACAGTAGTACAGTAGTACAGTAGTACAGTAGTAACAGTAGAACAGTAGTACAGTAGAACAGTAGAACAGTAGAACAGTAGTACAGTAGTACAGTAGAACAGTAGAACAGTAGAACATAGAAGTAGTACAGTAGAACAGTAGAACAGTAGAACAGTAGTAAACAGTAGAAACAGTTAGTAACAGTAGACAGTAGTACAGTAGTAACAGTAGAACAGTAGTAACAGTAGTACAGTAGAACAGTAGTAGTACAGTAGAACAGTAGAACATTAGTACAGTAGAACAGTAGTACAGTAGAACAGTAGAGTACAGTAGTAACAGTAGTACAGTAGTACAGTAGAACAGTAGTACAGTAGAACAGTAGTACAGTAGAACAGTAGAACAGTAGAACAGTAGAACACAGTAGAACAGTAGAACAGTAGTAGTTACAGTAGTACAGTAGAACATTAGACAGTAGAACAGTCAGTAGAACAGTAGAACAGTAGTACAGTAGAACAGTAGTACAGTAGAACAGTACAGTAGTACAGTAGTAGAACAGTAGAACAGTAGAACAGTAGAACAGTAGAACAGTAGAACAGTAGAACAGTACAGTAGTACAGTAGAGAACAGTAGTAGAACAGTAGTAACAGTAGTAAAGTAGAAACAGTAGTACAGTAGTACAGTAGAACAGTAACAGTAGTAACAGTAGAACAGTAGTACAGTAGAACAGTAGTACAGTAGAACAGTAGTACAGTAGAACAGTAGAACAGTAGAACAGTAGTACAGTAGTACAGTAGTACAGTAGAACAGTAGAACAGTAGTACAGTAGAACAGTAGAACAGTAGAACAGTAGTACAGTAGAACAGTAGTACAGTTAGTACAGTAGAACAGTAGTACAGTAGAACAGTAGAACAGTAGAAGTAGATACAGTAGAACAGTAGTACAGTAGAACAGTAGACACAGTAGTAGAACAGTAGTAACAGTAGTAGAACAGTAGAACATTAGTAGAACATAGACAGTAGTAACAGTAGTTACAGTAGAACAGTAGAACAGTAGAACAGTACACAGTAGAACAGTAGTAGAAACAGTAGAGACAGTAGAACAGTAGAACAGTAGAACAGTAGAACAGTAGAACAGTAGAACAGTAGTACAGTAGTACAGTAGTAGAACAGTAGTAGAACAGTAGTACAACATAGAACAGTAGAACAGTAGTACAGTAGAACATTAGAACAGTTAGAACAGTAGTACAGTAGAACAGTAGTACAGTAGTAGTAACAGTAGACAGTAGTAACAGTAGAACAGTAGTAACAGTTAGAACAGTAGAACAGTAGAACAGTACAGTAGTAACAGTAGACAGTAGTAACAGTAGAACAGTAGTAACAGTAGAACAGTAGAACAGTATACAGTAGAACAGTAGTAACAGTAAGTACAGTAGAACAGTAGAACAGTAGTATACAGTAGTAACAGTAGTACAGTAGAACAGTAGAACAGTAGTACAGTAGAACAGTAGTACAGTAGAACAGTAGAACAGTAGAACAGTAGTACAGTAGTACAGTAGTACAGTAGAACAGTAGTACAGTAGAACAGTAGTACAGTAGTACAGTAGTAACAGTAGAACAGTAGAACAGTAGAACAGTAGTACAGTAGAACAGTAGAACAGTAGTACAGTAGTACAGTAGAACAGTAGAACAGTAGAATAGTAGTACAGTAGTACAGTAGACACAGTAGTACAGTAGAACAGTAGTAAGAACATTAGAACAGTAGTAAGTAGAAGTAGACAGTAGAACAGTTAGTAGAACATAGAACAGTAGTACAGTAGAACAGTAGAACAGTAGTACAGTAGTAAGTAGTAGAACAGTAGTACAGTAGAACAGTAGTACAGTAGAACAGTAGAGTAGTACAGTAGAAAGTAGATACAGTAGTAACAGTAGAACATACAGTAGAACAGTAGAACAGTAGTACAGTACAGTAGTACAGTAGAACAGTAGCAGTAGAACAGTAGAACAGTAGTACAGTAACAGTAGAACGTAGTAGTAGTACAGTAGAACAGTAGAACAGTAGTACAGTAGTACAGCAGTAAGTAGACAGACAGTAGTACAGTAGTACAGTAGTACAGTAGTACAGTAGAACAGTAGTACAGTACAACATTAGAGTTGTTGTTGTTGCAGGTGGAGCAGGTGGAGGGAGGAATGGGCGGAGCTGACAGAGTGGGCGGAGCTGACAGAGTGGGCGGGGCACAGGTGAGGCTCTCTCTCTCTCTCTCTGTTTCTCTGAGTGTTTTGTGCTGGACTCTCTCTCTCTCTCTCTTTCTCTTTCTCTCTTCTGTATAAAGTATATTATAGTACTTTTTGTGCCCCCTCTCTTTTTCCCTCTCATCTTTTATTCCTCTTCTCTTCTCTCTCTCTTTCTCACCCCCCCTCCTCCTCCTCCTCTCTCCTCTCTCTTTTTTTTTGTGCTGACTCAGTGTTTGATAAAGTTGCTGTCTCAGACTCTCAGACTCGTCTCTTTAAACTCTCAGGTTTTTCCAGGACACGCTCTGCACCACAACTACTACTACAAGTACTACAAATACTACTACTACAAGTACTACTACTACTACTACTACAAATATTACTACAAGTACTACTACTACAACAAATATTACTACTACTACTACAAATATTACTACTACTACTACAAATACTAATACTACAAGTACTACAAGTATTACTACTACTACTGCAAGTACTAATACTACTACTGCAAGTACTAATACTACAAGTACTATTACTACTACTGCAAGTACTACTACTACAGGTACTACTACTACTACTGCAAGTACTACACAGTATTACTACAAGTACTACTATAAGTATAACTATAATACTACTACAGTTCTACTCCAGTACTGTCAGTCTGCCTCAGGGCAGCTGTGGCTACAGGAGACTCTGACTCCAGAGAGTGAAAAGAGAAAAAACAACTGGAGTCTCTGTACAAATGTAAACATTTATTACAAGTACTACTCTAAATACTACTCTAAATACTACTCTAAATACTACTCTAAATACTACTCTAAATACTATTCTAAATACTATTCTAAATACTACTCTAAATACTACTCTAAATACTACTCTAAATACTACTCTAAATACTACTCTAAATACTATACTAAAACTACTACTCTAAATACTATTCTAAATACTATTCTAAATACTACTCTAAATACTACTCTAAATACTACTCTAAATACTACTCTAAATACTACAAAGTACTGTGTTATTATATTTATTCTAATACTTATGATTCTGTATTTAACCTGAACTTTTATTTATTTTTATCACAGATATTTTTCACATTTAGTGTTTTGAAGCCCCCCCCCCCCCCCCCCCCATTCTCTCTCTCTCTCTCTCTCTCTCTCTCTCTTTCTTTCTCTTTTTCTTCTGTTCATTATTTTCAGGATTATCTCTGATGAATCTTCTTGTCTCTGTCGTTCTCTCCTCTTTTTCTTCCTCCCTCTCTCCGTCTCTTAAAGCTTTACATTACCTCTTGATGAATCCTCTTGTCTGTCTCTTCCTCTCTTCTCCTCCCTCCCTCCCTCGTTCTTCCCCCCCTCCTCTCTCCTTCCTCTCTCTCTCTCTCTCTCTCTCTCTCTCTCTCTCTCTCTCTCTCTCTCTCTCCTTTCATCTCTGTCTCTCCTTCTCTCTCTCTTGTATTCGTCCATTAGTTCTTGATGAATCTTCTTTTCCGTTTCACTCTTGGACTTTCAGATTTGGACCTGAGGGATTTTGCTGAACAAGCGAATTTCTGAATCACTGAAGAGAAAAAAAAAGAGGAAAAAAAAAAAGAAAAAGAGGAGAGAGAAAAAAGAGGAGAGGGGGGGAGAAGAGACAGGGGCTTTACACCTGCCCCTGTCCTGTCACCTGTCCTGTCACCTGTCCTGTCATCTGTCCCTGTCACATGTCACCTGTCCTGTCCTGTCACCTGTCCTGTCCTGTCCCTGTCACATGTCACCTGTCCTGTCAGTTATCACCTGTCCTGTCCCTGTCACCTGTCCCTGTCACCTGTCCCTGTCACCTGTCCCTGTCACATGTCACCTGTCCTGTCAGTTATCACCTGTCCTGTCCCTGTCACCTGTCACCTGTCCCTGTCACCTGTCCCTGTCACATGTCACCTGCCCTGTCCTGTCACCTGTCCCTGTCAGTTGTCACCTGTCACCTGTCCTGTCACCTGTCACTGTCACTGTGTCACTGTCTGTCACATGTCACCTGTCCTCTCACATGTTACCTGTCCCTGTCACCTGTCCTGTCACCTGTCACTTGTCCTGTCAGTTGTCACTGTCCTGTCCTGTCACTGTCACTCCTGTCACTGTCTGTCCCTGTCACCTGTCCTGTCACCTGTCACTTGTCCTGTCAGTTGTCACCTGTCCTGTCCCTGTCACATGTCACCTGTCCTGTCCTGTCCCTGTCCTGTCACCTGTCACCTGTCCTGTCACCTGCACCTGTCCTGTCACCTGTCCTGTCACATGTCACCTGTCCTGTCAGTTATCACCTGTCCTGTCACCTGCACCTGTCCCTGTCACATGTCACCTGTCCTGTCACCTGTCCTGTCACATGTCACCTGTCCTGTCAGTTATCACCTGTCCTGTCACATGTCACCTGTCCTGT